GACTTACATTCTCATGTTGTTTTTCTGTAATGGGGTAATAGGGAACAACGTCCATCCGAGGTATCATATTTGACTTCAAAAAAAAACTGTGATGGATCCGAGTGCAGATGAAATTGCGTTGGCGAATCTACAGAACATTTCAGGGGCCAACTCTGTGTGTAATTATCTGAGGAGTAAATTTAAAAAATTTCGAGTGGAGAAAAAGCCAAAAAGTTCTGAAATCACCATTCATGTAAAGCCTTTTGTACCGATGACTAAGTTGAGACTTCTTCAGATTAATCACGTGAAACTGGAAGGAAATCTTAAACTCCTCCCATCTGAACTCAAGTGGATACAGTGGAAAGGTTGCCCATTAGAAAATCTTCCACCAGTCTTTCTTGCTCGGCAACTTGCTGTTCTTGATCTTTCAGAGAGTGGAATAAGACGAATCCAGAGTTTGCGTAGCAAAAGGGTAAGCTTTTTTATATCATCTAGCATAGACAAGTATATAGTTCTGAGTTGAAGTCTCACTCTTAAAATTTTTCTTTCTGTCTTTCAGGTGGATGAGAATTTGAAGGTTGTAAATTTGCGTGGTTGCCACAGCTTAGAAGCCATTCCTGATTTATCAAACCATAAAGCCCTAGAGAAGCTTGTTCTCGAGCGATGCAACCTTCTGGTGAAGGTTCCTAGATCAGTTGGTAATCTGAGAACATTGCTTCACCTGGACCTCAGAGACTGTTCAAAGCTTGCTGAATTTCTTGTGGATGTTTCTGGACTGAAGCGTCTTGAAAAACTTATCCTCTCTGGCTGTTCGAATCTAAGTGTGCTACCAGAAAACATTGGTGTCATGCCGTGTTTGAAAGAGCTTCTTCTTGATGGAACTTCGATAAAGAACTTACCAGGTTCTATTTATCGCCTCGAAAATCTGGAAAAGCTTAGTCTAAAGGGTTGCAACTTTATTCAAGAGCTACCTTTATGCATTGGAACAATGACATCACTGGAAGAGCTAGATCTTAGTGGTACGACATTACAAAATCTTCCGAGTTCTATTGGATATTTAAGAAATCTCCAGAAGCTGCACTTGATGCGCTGTGCATCCCTTTCTGAGATTCCTGACTCTATCAATGAGCTCATATCATTGAAGGAGTTGTTCATCAACGGAAGCGGAGTAAAGGAGCTACCTCTAAAATCAGGCTGACTGCCATGTTTGACTGACTTCTCAGCAGGAGAATGCAAACATCTGAAACAGGTACCGAGTTCAATTGGTGGATTGAATTCTCTTCTCCAACTGAAGTTGGATAAGACCCCAATTGAAACTCTACCAGAAGCGATTGGTGACTTGAACTTTATTCGTGAACTTGAGTTGATGAACTGCGAATCTCTGAAATTTCTGCCTAAGTCAATCAGAGCTATGGACACACTCCATAGCTTATACCTTGAAGGGTCTAACATTGAAGAACTGCCAGAAGAGTTTGGCAAGCTGGAAAACCTAGTATTACTCCGAATGAACAAGTGTAAAAATCTCAAGAGGCTTCCTGAATCATTTGGAGACTTGAAATCTCTCCACGATCTGTACATGCAGGAAACTTCGGTAGCAGAGTTGCCAGAAAGTTTCGGTAACCTCTCAAATCTAAGGGTATTGAAAATGCTGAAGAGGCCTCTTTTTAGAAGTTCTAAAAGTGATGGTACAGGTACAAGCATAGTACCTAGTTTTGTTGAAGTACCAAAATCTTTCTCAAACCTCTTGTTGCTTGAGGAACTGGATGCTCGCAGTTGGGGAATATCGGGTAAAATCCCAGATGTTCTTGAAAAGCTTTCGTCTGTGACGATACTGAATCTAGGGAATAATTATTTTCAGTCTCCCGTCTAGCCTCAAGGGGTTATTAAATCTCAGAGAACTTTCATTGTATGACTGTCGAGAACTCACGTGTCTTCCCCCTCTTCCTTGCAAACTGGAGCAGCTAAACCTGGCAAACTGCTTTTCATTGGAGAGTATATCCCACCTTTCGGAGTTGACAATCTTGCACGAGCTCAATCTCACAAACTGTGGGAAACTTGATGATGTTCCAGGCCTAGAGAAATTGACGGCTCTGAAGCGGTTATACATGAGCGGATGTAACTCCTGCTGCTCCATTAAAGTAAAGAAAAGACTTTCCAAGGTGATCTTGCAAACTCCAGAAAATCTCAATTAATTTGATTTCAGGGTTTGTTAAATACTTGCAATCTCTTGAGTTCTCATCGCAGGCTCCTTTGAAGATGCTTCGGAACCTTAGCTTGCCTGGAAACAGAATCCCGGACTGGTTCTCACAAGGCCCTGTAACGTTCGCAGCTCAACCGAACAAAGAGCTCAGAGGAGTAATCCTTGCTGTTGTTGTGGCTCTTAACCATGAAACTGAAGATGACTACCAGCTGCCTGATGTGATGGAGGTTCAAGCCCAAATTCTTAAGCTTGATCTAGCTTTATACACCCACACATTGCACCTTTCTGGAGTGCCCAGAACAAGTAATGACCAACTCCACATCTGCCGGTACCCAGCTTCGCACCCAATGGTAAAGATGTTTAAAGACGGATACATGATACAGGTGATCAAACTGGAACCACCAATCAGACAAGGCGTCGAGCTAAAGATGCATGGGATTCATCTGGTTTACGAGGGGGATGATGATTTTACAGGCGAAGAAATATTGTTAACCGAGACACAGCTATCCGTTTCTCAGAAACTTGCCAATTTTTTCAGCTCTTTTGAAGAAACTGAAGCCAGCTCAGTAGGTGAATCTACTGTTGCATGATCTGCTACAGAGAGTCCGAGTATCCTGCTCGGTACACCAACAAACGGTACTGTCCGTTTCTTATGGTACAGACAGCCCCACTATAGTTACATCCCCATTGTTCTGGTGGTCTATGTTACCGGGAATGTTCAAGAACGTTTTTCTGTATGTCAGAGAATAATTTTGGTTTCTTCACAAGGCTGCTCGTTCGTAATCAAATCAGTGAAAGATGATGTATAGGGAGCATACGTAATACCTCGAAATCCAAAAGCATTCACCTCTCTTCTTCTATCAGCTTCTGAAATTTTGATTGGTTTCAACTTTGACCACTACTTTAATGTGGATTAAGGAAAAGTTATAATTGAATAAAGTTATGTTGATTTGATTTGCCAGATTTAAATCACTCCAAAAACAGACTTTCACAGTAACAAAGAAGAGACCAACAGATTGTCAAAAGGAAATGGTGACAAGACGATGGAATTATTCAAAGATGAGAAAGTGGGGTCGAAATTCATGTGTTTATGCTCAGTGAGACGCAGACATCTCTACAGCTGCCTCTAACATAACGTTTCTTTAACTCTCTTGTCCTTATTGAGCCCAAACCCTACATCTCATGCTTACTAGAATGCTTCCCATATCCGAAAGATATTAT